ACCACTCTTCTCTTGGATTTCGTTACCGTCCATGTGCTGATGAGCCCAGACCCGTAGTTCTCCACCAGACAGCTCTCTGGAGCTCCAGGCCCACAGAGCCAGCTTCTTCTAAGAGCTGTCCACAGAATGACTCGAAAGCATCTTTGGTTCTGCATGGCCCAAGCTGAGTGAGCTCTTCCTCTGCCCTCTTACTACCACACCTCGTGCTGGGTCCTTCACCCCCCAGCACCTTAGGGAAGGTGCTACACGTCCCTCCAGGTTGCTCAAGAGTTCGCCTAAACATCATCTTTAACTCCTTTGTCTACCTCAACACCCCATGTTACAAAATTATGATGTTAGCTCCCACATCACTATCCCACTGCCACCAGCATCTCAAAACCCGCCATGACCTCACCTGAATTACCGACGCAGCTTTCCTTCTGGCCTCTCCAGTGTTCTCTAGCCAGCATCTACTGCATCTTCCACCAAGCTGCCAGAAGGAGCCCAGAAAACCCTTCAAAGGCTCCAGTTACCCTCGGATAAAGTCCCACCACCTTGGTCTGGCCTTCCAGGGCCCCCCTCCAGGCCCCCCGTGCTCTGCCCTCTGCCTGCCTCTCCAGCCTCAACTCCCGACACTCCTACTCCTTGTGCTCTGACCATACGGGCCTTTCCACGTCGCAAGCGTGTCAGGTCTCCCACTATTCCTCTGAAATGGTTGGTCCTGCTGGCCCCCTCCTCCACTTCCCCCACTGTTTTTGCTTCCCAGTTGCAGTTTGGATTCCTAGATCAGACTTTCATGTCTGATGTTCCTCTAGAAACTTCTGATATTAATCAGAGTGTGTATTTAAAAAATTATTTATTTGTTTTGAGAGAGAGTGAGCATGTGAGCGAGGGGAGGCAAGGGAGTGACAAAGAATCCCAGGCAGGCTCCTTGCTGTTGGTGCAGAGCCTGACGCGGAGCTTGAACTCACGAACCGCGAGAGCATGACCTGAGCCGAAACCAAGAGTTAGACACTTAACTGACTGAGCCACCAAGGCGCCCCCAGAGTATTTATTAAACTTTTGTATAAATACTCGGACTATGCTATTAAGTTTCCTGAGGTCAGGATTCCTATTTACTTCTGTGGCCCCATTGCTCAATATTCAGGACTCCCAGTTACATGTTAATTTCAAGCAAACAACAAGTAACTTTAGTATAAATACGTATGAAATATTTCACAGAAGTATAATTTGCTCAAGTCAAGAAGTGAATGTGAGGAATATTCATGCTAAAAATACTATTTGTTGTTTGTTAGGAATGACATTTAATTGGGTGTTGTGTGTTTTTTACTGGTCAAGTCTGTAAACCCTACTCAATGTGTATTAGCACGGCAAATGTTCTGAACATCTGCTATGTGCTAGGCAACTCACACCTCATTAAATTATTTTTTGTGAGGGCGCCTCAGTGGCTCAGTGAGTTAAGCGTCTGACTTCGGCTCAGGTCACGATCTCACAGCGTGTGAGTTCGAGTCCCACGTCCGGCTCTGTGCCGACAGCTCGGAGCCTGGAGCCTACTTCAGATTCTGTCTCCGTCTCTCTTTGCCCCTTCCTGTCTCGGGTACTGTCTCTGTCTCTCTCTCAAATTTAAATAAACATTTAAAAAGTAACTAAATAATTGTACAATTCCTTGTTTTAATGGCTGTCTCCCATACTCAGAAGTTAAGCTCTTGAGGGCAAGGACTCTGCCTGTCTTGTGCCCTACTCTCTTCCGTACTTGGTCCCAAATACCTTCAATACATATTCCTAGCATTGAAATGGAACTAAGAGGGGGCTCTTTTACAATGGTACTTCCTTTCAGTGGCCCCCAGAATTAGGGGCCTGTGCGGTGGTAAGCAGAGCCTGAAGGGGGCCGTGTCTCCTAGAGTCTGGAGCTGGCCCCACCGTCTGTGGGGAGCAGGGCCTTGCTGGGCACAGGAGGCGAGACTCAGGCCGGCAGGCAAGGGAAGATGGCCGCTGCCTGGTGGAAACCGGATCTGCCCAGGCCCTCGACGACGTGGTCCCTGGATGCTTTCCCCAACCTTAGTGTCTGCTGAGCGTCCCACATAGGGCTCAGCGGGGCACTAAGAGTACAGGAATAACGATAATCTTTCTCATCCTTGGTTCCCGACATAGTACCTCCCCACCCGCAAATAATTTTGATTTAATCGTCTAGTTCCTGAAAGATGATCAAAGCCAGGCATTCAGGTTACTCTGGAAAAGTCCTATCTTGAATCCTCTTAACCAGCCCTTCAGGAGAGACGCTAATAGCATTCCCGTTACACAGATGAGGGAGTGGAGGCCACATGGGATGAGTAATTTGCACAAGCAGGGACCCAGCACTTGGTGTTTTCAGCACAGAAGTGTGATTAGATGCACGGTCTCAGGCACACTGCACAGCCTCCTATTCCCAGCACCCACTAGCTCTGTGACCAGTGGACAGATGATTCTAATCTCTGCCTTGGTTTCCTTATCCATAAGATGGGATTAATGAGTGTCTTCCTTAATAGAGTTATGGGAATCTAGTTAAATAGTCCACAGAAAGCATTAGGACAGGGCCTGGAGCAAAATAAGTGCTTAATAAATGAGCTACCAATGTCACCACTATTCCCCCCACCCATCCCTGAGACCACTCAGTGCCCGGCCCCACCTAAGCAGCTAGCAGCTGTAAATGTTTGGTGACTAAGCTGCTATTATTAAGTGAGGTGTTTCCCAAACTTGGCCTGAAGACATGAATTACCTGGGAGTCACTTACTATAAAATAGATTCTCAGGCCCTTCCCTTGGAGATTCTGATTGGTAGGTGTGGGTGGGGCCGGGGAGTCTATCTTTTAGAAAGGACCTCAGGTAAAATGCATCCTTAGGCTAGTTTAGCAAATCCTATTATAGAATGTGAGGTAGGCTAGTGTTACCGCAAACCTGTTGTAGCTTGGGTGGGGCAGCGGCTG